AAGGGGGCCTCGCCTGAGCGAGGAGGGCAGTCGAACACCATATTTTGTATCAGGTGTCGTGTTCCTCCCACTCCTCTAGGGAGACCCCGCCTTAGCGATGAGGGGATTCAACCACCTTGCTATTTATCAAAGCTCGTGCCCCTCCCATCCCACCCCTCCACAGATGCCCCGTCTGAGCGAGAAGGATGCTCGAACACCATGTCATTTGTCAAGTTCTGTGCCCCTCCCACTCCTCCAGGGAGGCACCGCCTGAGCGCGGAGAGTATCCGACAACCATCGTATTCACCAAATTCGGTGTCCCTCCCACTCCTCCAGGGTGGCCCTGTATCCGAAAATCATGTTATTTATCAGGTTTCGCGCCCCTTCGACCCCTACAGGGAGGCCTCGCCTGAGCGAGGAGGGCATTCGAACACCAGATTAGTTATTAGGTGTCGTGCTCCTCCCACGCCTCCAAGGAGGCATCGCCTGAGCGCGGAAGGTGTTCGAACACAATGTGTATCACGGTTCGCGCCCCTCCCACTCCTCCAGGGAAGCACCGCCTGGGCGAGGAGGGTATTCAAACACCTTGCTATGTATCCAGGTTCGTGCCCCTCCCACCCCTCCAGGGATGCCCCGCCTGAGCGAGGAGGGTTGTCGAACACCAACACATTTGCCAAGTTCTGTGTCCCTCCCACTCCTTCCTGAGCGAGGAGGGTATCTGAAAACCATGTCATATATCAGGTTTCACGCCCCTTCAACCCCTCCAGGGAGGCCCCGCCTGAGCCTGGAGGGTATTTGAAAACCAGATTATCCAGGCAAAGCAACCTAACAGCGATGTGTAGAAGCATATCTGAAAGCATTCCCCTTAAGATTCAGATGAAAATCCAGTTGTCGAATTCTGCTGTTCTCGCAGTCGTAGTCGCATTCGCAATGACAGTCGCAGCGGCAACGGCAGTCGCAGTCACAGCCTCAGCCTCAGCCTGCCTCAGCCTCAGCCTCAGCCTGCCTCAGCCTCAGCCTGCCTCAGCCTCAGCCTCAGCCTCAGCCTTCAGCCTCAGCCTCAGTCTGCCTTCAGCCTCGGCCTCAGCCTCAGCCTGCCTCAGCCTCAGCCTGCATCAGCCTCAGCCTCAGCCTCAGCCTGCCTCAGCATCAGCCTGCCTCAGCCTCAGCCTCAGCCTCAGCCTGCCTCAGCCTCAGCCTCAGTCTGCTTCAGCCTCAGCCTCAGTCTGCCTTCAGCCTCGGCCTCAGCCTCAGCCTGCCTCAGCCTCAGCCTGCCTCGGCCGCAGCATCAGCCTGCCTCAGCATTCAAAATGTGGCCCAGGAATGAAGTTCTGGGAACTAGAAGAACACGAAGTGGCCTACAGTTGGCTCCGGGCATTCAAAATCATGCCCAGGAATGGAGTTCTGGGAACTTGAAGAGCACGAAGTGGCCTACAGTTGGCTCCGGGCATCCAAAATGTGGCCCGGGAATGGAGTTCTGGGAAACCGAAGAGCACGAAGTGGCCTACAGTTGGCTCCGGGCATCCAAAATGTGGCCCGGGAATGGAGTTCTGGGAAGTCGAAGAGCACGAAGTGGCCTACAGTTGGCTCCGGGCATCCAAAATGTGGCCCGGGAATGGAGTTCTGGGAAGTCGAAGAGCACGAAGTGGCCTACAGTTGGCTCCGGGCATCCAAAATGTGGCCCGGGAATGGAGTTCTGGGAGCACCAAGAGCGATTTTGCGAGGATGTCCCAAGCGATTTCGGCTTCGGCGGCAGCCTGTCCGGGTCCCGCCCAGACCCCCCTGAGGAGTCATGATGCTTTCTTTTGAGACCACTAGAAACCTATCAGCAAGAGCTGTTAGGTAATTATGTTTCAGGCATCGTGTTCCTCCCACTCCTCCAAGGAGGCCTCGCCTGAGCGAGGAGGGTTGTCGAAAACCCATGATATTTACCAAGTTCTGTGTCCCTCCCACTCCTCCCTGAGCGAGGAGGGTATCTGACGACCATGTTATGTATCAGGTGTCGCGCCCCCTCTACCCCTCCAAGGAGGCCCCGCCTGAGCGAAGAGGGTATTTGACAACCATATTATGTATCAGGCGTCGTTTCCCCCCACTCCTCCAAGGAGGCCTCGCCTGAGCGAGGAAGGTATTCGAAAACCATACTATTTATCAGGTGTCGTGCCTCTCTCATTCCTCCAGGGAGGCCCCGCCTGAGCGAGAAGGAATTCAACCACCTTGCTATGTATCAAGAGTCGTGCCCCTTCAACCTCCCTCCAGGGATGCACCGTCTGAGCGAGGAGGGTGTTCGACAACCATGCCATTTCTAAAGTGTTGTGACCCTCCCGCTCCTCCAGGGGGGCCCCGCCTGAGCGAGGAGGGTATCTGACGACCATGTCATTCATCAAGTTTCGCGCCCCTTCCACCCCTTCTGGGGGGCCTCGCCTGAGCAAGGAGAGTATTCGAACACCATATTATGTATCAGGTATGTGCTCCTCCCACTCCTCCAGGGATGCCCCGCCTGAGCGAGGAGGGTTGTCCAAAACCATGTCATGTCTGAGGTGTTGTGCCCTCCCACTCCTCCCGGGAGCACCGCCTGAGCGCGGAGAGTATTCGAACGCCATGTTGTTTACCAAGTATTGTGTCCATCCCACTCCTCCAGGAAGGCCCCGCCGGAGCGAGGAGGGTATCTGAACCCCAAGTCATTTGTCTTGTTTCGCGCCCCTTTCCACCCCTCCAGAGAGGCCTCGCCTGAGCGAGAGGTATTTGAAAGCCATACTATTTATCAGGTGTCGTGCCCCTCCCATTCCTCCAGGGAGGCCTCGCCTGAGCGAGGAGGGAGTTCGAAAACTATGATGTTTCTCGGGTGTCGTGCTCCTCCCACTCATCCAGGGGGGCCCCGCCTGAGCGAGGAGGGAATTCGAACACCTTGCTATGTATCAGGAGTCGTGCCCCTCTCACCCCTTCAGGGATGCCCCGATTGAGCGAGGAGGGTGTTCGAAAACCATGTCGTTTCTGAGGTTCTGGGCCCCTCCCACTCCTCCTGGGAGCACCGCCTGAGCGAGGAGGGTATCTGACGACCATGTCATTCATCAGGTTTCGCGCCCCTTCCACTCCTCCAGGGAGGCCTCGCCTGAGCGAGGAGGGTGTTCGAAACCCATATTATTTATCAGGTGCCGTGCTCCTCCCACTCCTCCAAGGAGGCCTCGCCTGAGCGAGGAGGGCATTCGAACACCACATGTTTTATCAGCTGTCGTTTTCCTCCCACTCCTCTAGGGAGGCCCCGCCTTAGCGAGGAGGGAATTCGAACACCTTGCTATCTATCAGTGTTCGTGCCCCTCCCACCCACCCCTCCAGGGATGCCCCGTCTGAGGGAGAAGGGTGTTCGAACATCATGTCATTTGTAAGGTTCTGTGCCCCTCCCACTCCTCCAGGGAGGCACCGCCTGAGCGCGGAGAGTATTCGAAAACCATGTTATTCACCAAATTCTGTGTCCCTCCCTCTCCTCCAGGGAGGCCCTGTCTGAGCGAGGAGGGTATCCGAAACTCGTGTTATTTATCAAGTTTCGAGCCCCTTCCACCCCTCAAGGTGAGGCCTCGCCTGAGCGAGGAGGGTATTCGAACACCATATTATGTATCTGGTGTCGTGCCCCTCCCGCTCCTCCAAGGAGGCCTCGCCTGAGCAAGGAGGACATTCGGAAACCATAATATGTATCAGGTATCGTGCTCCTCCCATTCCTCCAGGGGGGCCCCGCCTGAGCGAGGAGGGAGTTCGAACACTTTGCTATTTATCAGGATCAGTGCCCCTCCCACCCACACCTCCAGGGATGCCCCGTCTGAGCGAGAAGGGTGTTCGAACACCATGTCATTTCTGAGGTTCTGTGCCCCTCCCACTCCCCCAGGGAGCACCGCCTGAGCGCGGAGGGCATTCGAAAAAGATGTAACTTACCAAGCTCTGTGTCCCTCCCGCTCCTCCAGGGAGGCCCTGCCTGAGCGAGGAGGGTACCTGAAAACAAGGGTTCGCGCCCTTTCAACCCCTCCAGGGAGGCCCAGCCTGAGCGAGGAGGGTATTCGAAAACCATGTTTTTACCAGGTGTCGTGCTCTTCCCACTCCTCTAAGGAGGTCTCGCCTGAGCGGGGGGGGCATTCGACAACCATTTTATGTATCAAGTGTCGTGTTCCTCCCACTCCTCCAGGGAGGCCCCGCCTTAGCGAGGAGGGAATTCGAACACCTTGCTATGTATCAGGATTCGTGCCCCTCCCACCCACTCCTCCAGGGATGCCCCGTCTGAGCGAGAAGGGTGTTCGAACACCATGTCATTTGTAAGGTTCTGTGCCCCTCCAACTCCTCCAGGGAGGCACCGCCTGAGCGCGGAGGGTATGCGAAAACCATGTTACTTACCGAGTTCTGTGTCCCTCCCGCTCCTCCAGGGAGGCCCCGCCCCGCCCAGGCCGCCATGTCACGCGCCCTTCAAAATAACCCTGCATGGGCCGCCCGCGCTGCGCGCGTGGGAACCCCTGCTCTCTTCCGATCGTTGCGCTTTCCGTTCTTTTGGCCGCGTCGTGCACGCGAGATGGTCCCGATAGCATGTGCCTGCAAATCACCATCGCCCATCGCCATCTTGATCGTCCCCGTCGCCCGGCCATCGCCGTGGTCCCCTCCATCCCGCACCTCCCCCTCTTCCTCTTCCTCCTGACTCGCCCTCTCCTTGCTTCTGTGTGATGCCCCTATCATCGGCGCTGTCGATTGTAACCGCAAATGCACCGCACCCGCAGGGGCCGCGTAGCTTGAGAACAGAGACGACGGCCGCTAGAAAAACGGGTCAATTTCGCAAGAGTCTTGTATGCCGTTCGATCGCGTCGCTCTCGTTGTCCCCCTCTATCCATCTTCCTACACCCTCTGTGCCCCCCCCTGTAAGTCCGCGCCCCAATTTACAGAAAAAAAACATGTGGGGAACTCCGTTCGCATAATGTCTCACCCCCCCTGGCGCTGGCCAGGTGTGCGTGGGGGGGTGTCCGAGGGCTTCGCTCCTTCTCCTCCCTCGCCTTGCTCCCCGAGGGGAGGGGCCTCAGGCCGGGCTTGAGGCGCCCCGCGCGGGCCCCGCTCACGGGCTCTCGGGCGATCGCGGCGGCGCCGCCGCGGCGGCACAGCCCACCGGGCAGGGTGCCCGGAGGGCCTGCAGCACCTCGGCGGCGCGCGGGCCGGGGCAGGGCGAGGGGGGGAGAGTGAGCATCGTAACGATCCCTATCCCCGCTGGTGTGACCTGGGCCCGAGTGGCCGATTTGCCCCCCTGGATGCGGGTGTAAGCTGTTTCCTGCGGGGCTCGAGGGGTGTGTCCGCAACTGGGGTGGTGAGGTGGTGGGGCGCGGGATGGGGATGGCGATGGGGATAGGGATCGGTTAAGCGATGCCGAGCGAGGGGGGAGAGGGACCGTCTGAGCCGGCAGGGACCAGGCGTGGACTAATCGGACTCCGCCAGTCCAGGACAAACTGCGCTGCATTTTTGTTCGGGGGGCGTCGTCCCACACTGGGCTCAGCCAATATGTGGGCAGCTCTTGGGGCGCTCTTGGGCCCGGCTTGGGCTTCTCTGGGGCCCCTCTTGGGGCTCTCTTGGGCAATCTTGGGGCGGTCTTGAGGCCTCAAGAGCCCATCGGAAGCGAAAAGGCGAGACGGCCAAAAACATTCCCCACTCAGAGCTTGCCTCTGTTGGGGTCCTAGCGGATTCATATGGTTAGGTTAGCTGGCCACCTCCAGGGCCGCGAGCGGCTCCCGAATCCGGCTCAGCCCAAATCCGGCTTTGCAAGATCCTGCAGGATCTGGCGCTCTGGCAAAGTCGGGCGTGTCCACCTACAGGGAGATTTTCGACGAAAAATTAAAAATACCCAAAAATACTCCGACGTGATCAAAAATATTTAAAAAATAGTCCCCAAACTATTTTTTGACTCCTTTTGAAAATCCCCCCTGTAGAGCGACAGGCCCGACTTCAGCATAGACCCGTCGGCGCTGAGCCCCGCCGCCTGCGGGCTGAAAGGGCCTCCTCTTGGAGGGGACCAGCAACCGGGATATCGGGAGAGACACCTGAAGCATGCGAACAGAAAGCACGACCGCAGCCCGAGACCCCAGCTCCCTGCGCCCTTCTTCGAGGCGGATCGATCTGTGAGCGCCCCGAGTCCCGAAATGAGGCGCAAACGCCTGGTGTGAACTGGGAGCCGGCGGTAAACCGTCAACCAGGTTACCGCCGGGACCCTCGTAGAGCTCTTGACACGCGAAGTAGTGCTCAGAATACGACGAGAAAGCTTGCTTAAATATCAGCTAAAAAACTAGAAGCATGTACTCTGTGAGCGCCCCGAGTCCCGAAATGAGGCGCAAACGCCTGGTGTGAACAACCTCTGCAGCGCCCAGATCTCTGGGACGGCCTCGGAGACGGCAGGGAGGGGCTCTGACCGCCCGAGAGAACTGCCCTCCTTGCTCCGAGCCCCCCTTCCGCAGGAGCCGCCGAGCACCGCCGCTGTGAGGGCTGGGCTTAGGTAGCCCGCGGTCATGCAGGCGGCGAGGCTCTGGAACCACGCGTGGAGCCTCTGAGCGAGGCGGAGTGGCGAAGAGATCGGGAGGAGGACGACCCGGACCCCCTCGCGTCGGGGAAAAACATGACGGACACTTTCTACTGGTTTCGGCCTCTGGGAACACTGACCAGGCCTTGGGACAGCCAAAACCCGTCCGGGGGAATGGGTGGGAGGCCAGCGGCCAACAGCTCGAAGACCACGCGCAGGAGCTTCGGAACCTGGGCCTACCCTCCGACGTCGTGGTCTGCTTCTCGGGGGCGCGCAAACATGGATTAGCGATCCATGGATTTGGCGCGCGGTCGCCAAATCCATGGATCGGGGGAAGTGCCCTCCCCAAAATGCGGCCGGTGCAGCCTCGTTCGGCGGCGGAAGCCCGCGATTTCCCACGCCCCCTTGATCCATGCTTGCGATCGCCTGAGTTTCACAACCTCGTTCCCTGGAGCTCGCGACACCCCCCCGCCCCGGGACTGGGCCCGAGAGCTGGCGCCGAAATCCTCAGAAACGGCCGATCGTGACTTTGATCGCGCTGGGAGGTCTGAGTCCATCTGATAGTTTTCCTCCTCCTCCGCCGCCTCCTCCTCCTCCTGAGCATCCTCCTTCTGAATGTGATTTCCCGAGGTGCTCCTGCTCGTTATCCTTCTTCCGTTCACTCCTCTCATCTTGTCATTCTCCTGCTCATTCATCTCCTCCTGAGGTCGAGGGCTGTCCTGGTGACTTGTGATTTTGTTCACGCTCCTCCTCCTCCTCCTCCTCCTCTTCCTCCTCCTCCTGTTCCTTCTCCTCTTGGGGGGGGGGCAGGCAGCCCTAAGCCCTGAAACCAGTGGAGCCCCCCCTAAACCCCTAAAGGTTCCAGAAACCTCTCCCCTCCTCCTCCTCCTCCCCCTCCTCCTCCTCCTCCTCCTCCTTCCCTCCGCTCGTCCTCATCCTCGTTCCTCCGCTTCCCACTCCAGCTGCTGCTCCTCCACATCCCCCTCACAGCCGAAGCAGGACGCAGGATTTCGACGCAGACCCAACTGTGACCACGCCCCTCCCCCCAGCCCGAAAATCAACAGGGTTAGACAATTATAACATCACATCCAGATCTTTAATTCTCATCGAGAGACCAAGACAGCGCTGTGGTTCAAGATGCGCCCGTATGCAAGGTCGAACCGATCCGATGCTCCTCGTGCTGGAAGAGGGAAGCAATTAACCAGACCCACTGAAACATTTAAAATTGGGGGTCCTAAAACATTGCACGGACAGTGCGGCGAGGTCTTTGAGCCAAAGCCCTCACCGCACTATCCGTCTCACCACACGGCTTTGGGACCTCGGAGGTCCCAGTCGCCCGAGACGTCCGCGCAGAACGACACGAGTTTCAAAACCTTGCAGACACCCCGGCTCCTCACTATAGAATACGAACAATATGCGTAAACATGAACTTCAGGATTTCCGCGCGGATTCCTTGGATCGGCGCAGGACAGGCGCGGGCTCAAGCCAGGCGCCCAGCGCGCGGCCCGCGGCCCAGCGGCAACAGGCGCGCGCGTCGGCACCACGCCAGCGAGGGAGCGATCACCCTCGCCCGCGTGGCACAGGAGGCAGCGGCGGCGGCGAGCATCAGCCCGCCATCTCCTTGCGCTTGAACAAGCGCGAGAAGTCCTGGAGGGCCACCACGGGAGCATGGCGAAGAAGTCGTGGGGCTGGGACCGCCAGAACGCCTGGGACAACAGCCAGAAGCAATGGAACGACAGCCACGACTACACTAGCTGTGCTACGTGGGGGTGCAAGGGCTGGGTGCACGACGCCATCTGGAGGCCAGGCCTCCAGTGCAGACAGTGCAAGGCCACCTTCCGCAAGCCGCAGAGCATCAAGAAGGCAGAGTATGCGTCGAGTGCTTCCCAGGACGGCAAGGGCCAGGCGAAAGCTCACCAGCGTGGCGGACAGGACGCCGAGAAGAAGGAGCTCTCAAAGGCCCTGGTCCTGATCGCGGAGAAGATCGGCACCGTGAAGCTCGATGGCGGTGGACAGCTCGAGACGCAGATGAAGGGACTGGCCCAGCAGATAGCGACCGAGCCGCCACCCAAGCAGAAGTCCAGGCCCGAGAGGCTGGCGGAGGCGGCGGAGGCGCTACGGATCGCCAACAAGCGCTTCACCGCGGTGGCGGCCGAGGTCAAGAAGCAAAGGGCATGGCTTCGCGAGCTCGAGGACAAGATGAGCGACATGGCCGCCAGCGTCGTCGAGAAGGAAGCCACCCTGGTGGCCGTCCACGCGGAGGGCAAAGAGGCCAAGCCGCAGAGCTTCATGCAGCAGCTGATCAGCCAGACCCCAGAGGAGATGGCGCTAGAGGGCCTCATCGACCTGGAGAAGGAGATGGAGCTGGAGGACGCAGAGGTGGACGAGGCGGCGCGCCAGGAGGTCGCCGAGGCCAAGAAAAAGGTGCTCGCCGACTTGAAGGAGGGCGCCAAGTCATACGCACACCAGCTGCAGGAGCACATCAGGATGGCCAAGGAGGCGGCAGCACGCAACAAGGAGACCATCGAGCAGGACGCGAAGAAGAGGAAGGTCGAAGCGCGGCGGCAGGACGAGGCGGCTTCAATGGGGGCAGCAGCGAGTTCTCCAGCCACGGCGCCAGCAGCACCCAATGAGGCAGCAGAGATGGCGGTAGAAGAAGACGAAGATGCTGACCTGGAGGAAGAGGTGCTCGCCAAGGCCAGGACCAAGCTCGCTGAAGCCAGCGGGCCTGCCGCTCGGTCAGAGTGACTAGCGCGACCTGACGCCCGCCCAACCAAGACCGACAAGGGCGTCAGGCAAATCTTCGTCGGCAACATCACGACGTGGGGCCCTACTGTGGAGTCGTGGCTTCGGGGCCAGCACCTGAGGATCGACGGCAACAAGCACAGTGGGCAGGGATTCGACACGTACCTGATCCAGGAGACTCATCTCCGCCACCACCAGTTGGAGGAGAAGGAGGCACTCCTGAACAAGTGGGGTCTGAAGGCGTGCTTTGCGGCATCCCAACCCTCCACCAAGTCCGAGGGGGGCTCGAGAGGAGGCGTTATGATCGCCACGAGGTCGCACTTCAAGAGCTCGTTCTTTCGGGAGTTTGCGGCGTACGGCAGTGTTTCGGGGGCTACTGCTGGAAACCGTGGAATACAAGAACAAGCTGCAGGGGGAGATCTGGGTCTACTTCAGATGGACGACTGGACCGCGATGACGCGGCACCTCAAGGGCTACAGCCTCGTGGTCATTTCCCTGTATCTGAGGTGCGACCACCCGCTGAAGGAGGGCGCCAATGCGAGGCGATTGGCGGAGGTGGCGAGGTTCACCAAGGCGCTGCGCACGCCATGGATTATCGCAGGGGGCTTCAACGTCAGCCCGACCAGGTTCGCGGCGGAGGGCTTCTGCGACTACCTGGGCGACGCGCGCATCTACACCATGCCAGGCAACACGCCGACCTGCTACAAGGCCGACGCGGAGCCATCTCTCATCGACTTTGTGCGAGCGAGCCCCGAGGCGCGCAAGCACATCATCCAGCTCGAGGCGGTGGCAGAAGTCAGCTGGAAGCCGCATATCGGCCAGAAGCTAACCCTCAAGGCACAACTCGAGCTCAACATCACCAGGGTGCTGAAGATGCCACAAGCGTTCTGCCACCCGAAGCGAGACATGCGGAAGAAGCCCAACCCAGAGAGCAAGGCACAGAGGAGGAAACGACAACTTCAACAGGAGCGAGCAGACCGACCAGCACACGAGCATCAACGAGAACACGAACGACCTCCAGTTGAAGTCTCATGCACGAGATGGGGAGCGATCGTGCCTATCGGTTGGACGTCATTCCCGTTTCAACCAGATGGAGATCTCCCCGACGCTCTTCTCGAGGAACGGGGCGCAACACGTACGGAGAAGCCCGTGACATGGGCTAATGAGACCTGTGACATAGGTCACCAGACAGAGAAACGCAATAAGGCCTGTAACAGAGGCCAGGACACAGAGGAGCTACCAGAGCCAGAAGCCCCAGAGCAGGGGCCTGTAACAGAGGCCAGCAGGTGCGGAAGCGCAACACGAGCCAGAACAGACATGGACAACCCCGAGGCGGACCTCATCGAGGAAGACCCCGAGGAGTGGTACATCACACAAGAGGAACTCCTACCACCAGAACTCGAAGGGCTCTTATCAGGGGACCAAGCGGTAGACTGCCCACCGAGGCTCCACACCGCAGGGGCCCCTCCAGCAGCCTCAGGAACGGGTGAAGGCTCTGATCCTGGGACTGAGGCGGCTGGCCAGGTGCAAGGTAGCAGCCAGTGGGAGGACGTCGACGCAGGCGACAGTGACTTGGAGGAGGCGGTCACAGTCAACACGAAGCAGACGAGGGAGCTTGACACCATCGCGATGCACAGCGTGTGGGACAAGTACTACGAGATGCGGCACGACTCTGATAAGGCGGCCGCGCCGACGTACATCAGCCGCTCGGCTGCGTTCCAGGCGACAGAGAAGCAGGCGAACTCGTTAGGGAAGCAGTGCCACCACCTCGTCACCACCATGGAATGCTTCTACTGCGACGTGTACGACATCGACGCGAAGGACCAGAGGAGGTACAAAGGAAGAGGCGAAGGATTCGAGTTCGAGGAGAAGGCAACCAGAGAGTCAGGAGCAAGGCGGGTCACCTACACCAACAGGAGAACGAACTGGTGGAGCAGGATGGCAACGGCACTTGGCACGTACGCGAAGATTAGACACAGGCAAAAGGGAGAGGACCAGCTCAACCAGCTTGAGGAGTGCTGCAGGAGGCTAGGCCAGGAGGGGGTCCCATCAGCGGGGCGACAGGCCTCCAAGACGGCCAGGCGACACCGCAAAGTCTGGAGCCAGCGCATCAGGCAGATCAACAAGGTGGAGAGCAGCGTGCTGGGCGGGATGGTGCAGCAGGCCAAGCTGGAAGCGCGCATAGCGTTGAAGGAGGACTTGCGAAGAGGAGCGAAGGAGTACGCGCTGTGGTTGGCCAACATGGAAGTCAACGCCCCTGGCGCGCTACACAAGATCACCAAGCCCAAGCGCAGGCATGGGGACGAGTACATCAAGGCTGGGAGGAAGGCCACGAACCCCAAGGAGAGTGTCGACCTGCAGGCGGAGGACGTCGAGGAAATGTGGAAACACGAGAAGTCGCACGAAGATGCAGTGGAGGTGATCAACATGCTCAGGAACAAGGCAAAGGAGAAGCCCACCCCGAGATGGACCTTGGAAGAGTTCGACGAGGCCATCCGCGGTATCCCCAACAAGGGCAAGGGCACAGACATGATGAACATGGACGACGTCAAGCGGCTACCAGAACGAGGTGGGCAAGCATTCATAGACATGTACAACAGGTGCGAGGAGGAGGTAGCGTGGCCATGGCAGACTTTGCAGGCGATGGTCATGTTGCAGCCGAAGGACGCGGAAAGGTTAGACGAGACGGCGCTCACAGGAGGAGGAGACCGAGCGCTGGCACTACTTACATGGTTCGCGAGGACGTGGGAGTTGCTCAACAGGAACCAGATCCGAAGATGGGCCAAGGAGGTGGAGGAGGACTTCGACGCGGCCGTGACAGGCAACTCCTGCCTGCGCGAAGCCATGGCGCGGGCATTGGGCGACGAGACCTCGCAGGAGCTAGGCGCGCACTCAGCCAACGCCTTGGTGGGCGTGAAGAGGTTCTACGACTCCCTGGTCTTTGAGAAGGTGGCGAAAAGGGCGCTGGAGTACGGCTTCCCCCCGGGGGTCCTGGCCATGGCGATGCTACCCCACCTCGCCCCGAGAATGCTAAAGGAGGGCAATGCGTGCAGCCTGCCCATCTACGCGAAGCGCAGCCTCTTGGCAGGTTCCAGACACAGCAACAACTTAGCGAGAACTCTCATCTACCACGTGGTGAAGTCCATGACCAGCCTCGTTCCAATGGTGCATCCGAGAACTTGGTTCGACGACATCGGTTTGCGGGCAGTAGGAAGCGGCGCCAAGGTGGAGGACTGCATCGTCAAGGCGACCTACGAGCTGGCGAAGGCGCTGAACACGGAAGGGCTCTCCATGGCGGGCAAATCGGTCCTGTTCAGCACGGACATCGACATGGCAAAGAGGGCAACCCAGAGACTGAAGAAGTTGGGTATGACTATCAGAGGAGCCACAGAGGGGCGAGACCTAGGACTCGATCGGGCAGGTAAGACATGCACGAGGAGAGCGACTCACAGCGCAAGGCAGCGCAAAGGTTTTAAAAGGTTCGCGGCCATCACGAAGAAGCTCAAGAAGGCACGTACCCGAAGACAGGTCATCGAGCAAGGACCCATGGCACAGGTCGGGTACGGCACGAAGGCTTACGGAGCTAGCCCATCAGCGCTCACAGCCATCAGGAGGAGGTACGCGAAAGGACTAAGGGAAGCCTGGCCAGGAAGATGCCTCACCACGCTGCTGGACCTCGAAGGCGCAGACCCTGGCATCACCATGCCCGGGAACCAGATCCAGGCGTGGTTCGACCTCTGGGCCAGCCGCCCAGACCTGCGAGCTGGAGCACGACGAGCATGGCCGAAGATACGAGCGCGACTCCTAGAGGCTCCGAAAGCTACGCGATGGCAACAGCGGAGGGGCATTATAGGCGCGCTGATCCTGCAGCTTTGGGAGATCAGCTGGGACGCGAAGGCAGCGGACTTCTGGGAAGACGCCGCAGGAGGAGGATGGCAGTTACAACCAGACGAAGGAGATGACGACCCCACGGTGATCCTCGACGCCATCACCAGTGACCTCAAGAAAGCAAGGTGGAGGCAAGCCAGCCTTCACCACAACGGCGAAGGACTACAGCACGGAGTTGATACCTATGACATGAAGATGCAGCTCAGGCGCCTCAGGAAGTACGGGAAGCACCAGATGTTCGGGGCCATCCTCACGGCAGCATGCGCAGGGACGTGGTCACCACAGAGGAGGAAGGACACGTTCGGGGGCGACACCTGCAACATGTGCGAGTGCGGCGAGGTAGCGGACGACTTCCACATCATCTGGGGCGAGTGCCAATGCAGGAGCGACCACAACATCTACAAGAAGACGGAGAACCTGGTGCACCGAGCCAAGCAAGGGAAGACCGAGTGGGCAGCGTTTTGGCTTCGAGGACTCACGCCGAAGGATTGGACGACCCCACCAGAGTGCGAGACGGAGTACGAGGCAACGCGCACGGGCTCGGCGGCCAACATCACCAGCGATAGTGACGGCAACAAGCTGTACCTGACGAAAGGCCACATTGTCTGTGGTGATGGAAGCGGAGGAAAACGTGGTGACGATGCAAGATACAGAAGGTGCGGATGGAGCTGGGTCGTGTTGAACAACCAGAGCGGCAACTGGCAGGAGGAGGCTACAGTGTACGGCCCGCTCCCTGGACCGAGACAGAGCAACAACAGGGCGGAGATCACGGCGTTCCTGGACTGCCTGCAATCAACGGACGGCGAGCTCACCTTCTACACGGACTCGGAGATCCTATGCAAGGGCTGGTATGGCAAAAGGTTTCTACAGCGAGGATACAAGAAGGCACACGGGGACCTGTGGAAGAAGATCAGACAGCGACTCGAGGGACGAGGAGGCGAAGAACTTATCAGGGTGAGGCACATCGAGAGCCACATGACGATCGAGCAAGCGCGTGAACGAAGAGTGCCTGAGGAGGCATGGAGAGGCAATCTCAGAGCAGACGAGTTGGCAGAGACAGCGGCGGCATCACACGCTATCCCAGAAGCGCAAATGGGCTGCTACGACTGGGCCAGGGCTACATCGCACTTAGTCCGCACGCGAATCGGCCAGGCGTACATGGAGCAGTTCTCTCGGGTGAAGCCGATGGCGTGGGAAGAAAAGGCGGAAGCAAAGGCCAAAAGGAAGAAGGAGAAAGACGTGAAGGAGAACTACCAGCACCTCTTCGAGCACACGCCCCATCTACTACGACCTGATGGACGCATGTGGAGATGCGAGCGCTGCAAAGAGTCCATTGGCCGCAAACAGCGTTCACAGGCAGCGAGATGGTGGCTCCAGAAGTGCAAAGGCGAGGCTCGAGAACAGGACGAACGGCACGAAGGAGCTCTTCGCAGCGTGGTCCTCAAAGGGAAGGTATCCCACCACTCGCACGCCATATGCTGGTCAAGGCACAAGGAGCGCTACTTCTGCTGGACATGCGGAGCCACAGCGGAGAAGCACCTGAGCCACAAGATGCTGAAGGAATGCGAAGGATGGCCAGCGGGACAAGCATCACGGCACGCACTCAAGTCGCTGAGACGCAAGAAGGAGTGGACACCAGGAACAGGTGCGAGATGGAATCGAGACACAAAGGTCAAGTTCACGAAGTCCGAGGTCAGAAGAAACACACCAGGCACTACTACGAACATCCGCAGGAAGGAGGCGATACACCAGGTCAAGCACACGGACACCACCGACGACGGGGAGCTCGTCTCTCATTCTTGCAAGAGAGTTGTGCCATGAATGCAGTTGTCGAACAGATCTTGATCGACGGCGGCAAGGAGGCACCAGACCGACGGCCACGGTTGCCCCGTGGACTGCGTGAAGGACGGCGGCGACATCCGCGTGCCGTCCATCTGAGCGGGGGGCTGACGCCTGCCGCTCCCGACAGTCGTTGACTGATAATAAAATTCGGGAACAAAAAATTGGATCGGCGCAGGACTCCCCTTACTGTCGCGCGGATCGCGCTGGGGGCGGCGCTCGAGGCGCGGCAAGGGGCGCCCACCGTCCATCCGAGCAGAGCTCTGAACATTTGATATCATGCAACTTTCTTCTTCGAATCTCGCCGCACGGTGTGATCACCGCACCGTTTTGCCCCCCTCCCCCGAGAGAAGCCGTGAACGGAGCCTCGCCGTAGTACCGGGGGGCCCCGACCGACAGGCGAACGGCGTCGCCTTGAAGTGCCTGTCGTACTCCCCGCCGAGCTGGTGCTTCAAGGGCATGTGCACGTCCTTGGTGCCAACTCCTCCCTCTTATTGGTAGGCTTCGTGTTGCGCACAAACAATCACCCAAGGTATCAGGCTGGCCTCGCAAAGCCCTCCGAGCAGTAGCCTAGGCCGGTCTTAACACCCTGGCGCCGCCTCCAACGGCTCACCTAAGGCGCTCCGCGCCCCAAGGTTGAGGTGTTGAGACCAGCCGGGACTACCTGGGGAGCCTGGGGGGCTGTCTGTACGCAACCCGAAGCCTTACCATGTGAACTATTACCGGTTGCTGAGCATTTCCGCTACGGTTTGTCAACGACGAGGCTTTCCAGCAGTTCAAAGATGAGCGGCCCCAGCAACGTGCACGAGCGCCGCCTACGCATGGTGCTCTGATGGTCAAGAGGACGGAGGAGGAGGAGGGAGGAGGAGGAGGAGGAGCAGGCGGAGGGCCAGTGTAAACCCAAGAGTCATCAACGATGTTGCAATACACCCTCCATCCAAACTCCCTCTTCAGATGCCCCTACAACGGTTCATTTCCACTGAAAGAACTGCCTCGTTGGAAGACAACTGTTTGAAGACCCAGAAACATGCCAACACATTGTCCTCGTGATTTCAACGCCACGGGCCAAATTGACTCTTGCGATTTCGCGATCCTGAATCGTGCTAGAACGTGATTTCTGGGACTTCAAAAGCGAATACGACATGTTGAAAAGGAACCGCCTTCAATCCGTGAAGCCCTTGCATTTTAAAAATTATCCCGGCAAAGCAACCTAACAGCGATGTGTAGAAGCATATCTGGAAGCATTCCCCTTAAGATTCAGATGAAAATCCAGTTGTAGAATTCTGCTTTTCTCGCAGTCGTAGTCGCATTCGCGATGACAGTCGCAGCGGCAACGGCAGTCGCAGTCACAGCCTCAGCCTCAGCCTGCCTCAGCCTCAGCCTCAGCCTGCCTCAGCCTCAGCCTGCCTCAGCCTCAGCCTCAGCCTGCTTCAGCCTCAGCCTCAGTCTGCCTTCAGCCTCGGCCTCAGCCTCAGCCTGCCTCAGCCTCAGCCTGCATCAGCCTCAGCCTCAGCCTCAGCCTGCCTCAGCATCAGCCTGCTTCAGCCTCAGCCTCAGCCTGCCTCAGCCTCAGCCTCAGTCTGCTTCAGCCTCAGCCTCAGTCTGCCTTCAGCCTCAGCCTCAGCCTCAGCCTCAGCCTGCAGCCTCAGGCCTCAGCCTCAGCCTGCCTGCCTCAGCCTGCAGCAAAAAAAAAATGAGGAGTTCTGGGAACTAGAAGAACACGAAGTGGCCTACAGTTGGCTCCGGGCATTCAAAATCATGCCCAGGAATGGAGTTCTGGGAACTCGAAGAGCACGAAGTGGCCTACAGTTGGCTCCGGGCATCCAAAATGTGGCCCGGGAATGGAGTTCTGGGAACTCGAAGAGCACGAAGTGGCCTACAGTTGGCTCCGGGCATCCAAAATGTGGCCCGGGAATGGAGTTCTGGGAAGTCGAAGAGCACGAAGTGGCCTACAGTTGGCTCCGGGCATCCAAAATGTGGCCCGGGAATGAGTTCTGGGAGCGCCAAGAGCGATTTTGCGAGGATGTCCCAAGCGATTTCGGCTTCGGCGGCAGCTTCGGCGGCAGCCTGTCCGGGTCCCGCCCAGACCCCCCCTGAGGAGTCATGATGCCTTCTTTTGAGACCACTGGAAACCTATCAGCAAGAGCTGTTAGGTAATCAAATGTGCGCGGCGCCAAAGCGAGAACCACATGTTGAAAACGACCCGCCCTTAATCCGTGAACCTCTTGTACTCTGTTAAAACGAATGTGCGCAGCGCTAAAGCGAAAACCACATTTGGAAAACGATCCGCCCTGCATCCGTGAAACTTTTGGAAATACTTAAAACGAATGTGCGCGGCGATAAAAGCGAGAACCACATTTTGAAAACTATCCTCCTTCAACCCGTGAAACTCTTGTAAGGTTTTACAACTAATGCGCGCGGCGCTAAGGCGAGAATTACATTTCGGAAGCCACCCGCCCTCAATCTTTCGAGCTCTTGTTAATTTGAAAACGAATGTGCGCGGCGCTGGGGCGAGAACGCATGTTGAAAACGACCCGCCCTTCATCTGCGAAACTGTTGCCACGTTCTAAGCATCAGGGTCATGAGTAGAGAGGAGGTCTCAGGCGAAACCGCCTGGCGCGCCCCTAACAACTGGCCTCGGGGTGCGACAGGGGGAAAGTATATATATATATATATATATATATATATATATAGATGCCTCAGCCCGCCCCAGTTTTCCTCGGCTCAGCCAGAGCACTGTGTTCAGGTGAGTGCCGGGGGCCCTGATGCACCCGAGGGCCGAGGAGACGCCACGAGCAGACGCCCGCCCCTCGCGGGGAAGGGAGAGACCCCTCCGCGCCAGGTTAAGCCACACTCCAGAGAGGCCCCGGACAGGCTAGACCAGGCGAGAGGCACCCCTCGGACAGGAATCCCCAAGGCCCGAAGTTAGCACCAGGACACCGCACCTCTTCCATGGACCCCTACTCTGCACATCGTTTCGATTGGCGTTCCCCCCCATGCCTTGCCTGGAGACCTCCTACTCGCGTGTGAGAATCAGCGGGAAAGGAGGGAGAAAGTGTCTAAATTAAGAAGGGTAGGTGGAGAGGGAAAGTGCGACGAAAGAGCACGAGCGTCGGCATCCTGGCCCGAGCTCAGCTGGCACTCGGCCAGCGCAGCAACTGCATCTGTGACATACATACGGGCAAAGCGGGGCCTGTCCCTGCCTTCGAGAAGGTGTCTTCTCCAAAGATCCTGAGAAAGAAAATATGCAGTGGCCCCTCTTTCGGAACGAATGAAGGCTGACCATTTGTTCACGGGGGCCCCACGCAACGACGGCCTGTTGCCGCAGCCGGCAAAACCCGCTGCGGGCGATGTCATGTATGATTTCCTCAAGCTCGAGCGGGGCGACGTGCTGGGCCAGCGGGCGCGCGGCGGTCTTCGGCCGCGCCACGCCCAACTCAGCGTGATTACCCCTCTGGCCGGTCTTGGTCCCCTGGGGCGCGATGAGCGTTGTCGCGCGCGCAGGGAGGACCTTCACATTCTTTCCTGAGGCTCAGCATCTCGCCTAACCTGAGGAAGCACGGATACCCAGCCATCAGGGGCGCGGCGGTGCCGCCGCGGCCCCACCAGCGAAAAGCGCCGGCGATGGCCCCCGCGCGTGGTGGCAAGAGCGGGACAGCCTGCACTTTGGGCTGCAGCTCCAACCATGCCTTTGGATCTTCCAGCTAAGCTTCGACCTTCCGCCCAGGCAGAATGGAAAAGAAAGAAGGACGGCTGCCAGAACATTGTTGACTTCGAGCGGCAATCCCCCCGAGCGATATACGTGCCCCACGTACTCGGCGACGCTGCGTCCACCTCCTGGCCGAGGTTGGGGCGCTTGCTGGACGGAGTCGAGCCCCCCCGCGCAGCCGGCCCCCTCCGCGAGCGGGCCCTGCAACAGCCATCGAATCAGCGGCTCGGGACGTCGGCTGGGTTGTCAACCGTGTCGACACAGGCGTGCATCGGGCATCCTCCAAAGGCAAGGAGGCCTCGCATCGGGCCCCAGAGCCGCCTCGCACTGCTCCGGCACTTCGCGAGGATGCTGGCGGCAACCTGGAGTCCAGCAGGTGGAGGGCTGAGAGCGGAATCGCGCAGCAGTCCGCGACCTCGACTTGGTGGCGTTGTCGGCGGCGCAAGCCTCGAGCTCGTTGATGTGGCCCTCCTCGCGCCAGGGGTAGCCGTGCCCAATGGCCCGCGTCCACAAATTGGCTGAAGCCTCGACTGAGCCCCCGGCCTTGGCACGGAACGGAGCTGGTAGGTCCAATCGGACGTCTGATCCTCTTTGGCTGACAGCTCGAAGATACTTGAACACGAGCTGCTGTTCCAGATCCTGGTCTTGCACCTCCGTCACCTTGAAGTGGGGCGCCTGGTGCCAGGCGCCTGGGGCAATCCCAGTCTGCGGGAACGGCAGGGTCGGAGGCACGCGCTGGAGAGTCTCCCGCGCCAGGAGCTGCGAGAGGACCGGCGACGCGACTTCGGCGGAGAAGGAGTAGCCGACGAGTGATGACCTGATGAACTCTGTTTCGTGGCCTGGAACGGACTCCTCAGCCCGCGCCAAGGACTCGGCGGGCGCCACGTGCATCTTTACCCTGAAGTACCTCACCTCCACGACAAGGTCGATGACGCCTGCGCGCGGCCGGGGGGGCCACGGCAGCCAGTGCACCCCTGGCCTTCTGACCGGGCCCAGGTCCATCGCCTCGATCGTGCACGGCTCGACGAGAAGCTCCTGCGAGAAAACAACGAGATCTTCGGCGCGCATGCCCGCGACGCTCTCGATGAGCCAATGGGTCCGCTTCGCCTCGAACCCTTGCGCAACTGCCCTGATGGCCCGCGGAAGCTCAGAGAACAGGCTGCGCTCGCTGCCCGCGAGCTCTTGTCCAGCAGTGTAGAGCCCGTTGAGGTGGGTGCGCGGGGGCCCGACAGCGACGATAGCCAGGCTTGCCACCCCGCTAACCAGGCGGCCCAGATGGGCCGAGGCCTCCGAGCTGACTTTGGCGAAGTCCTCCAGCCTGATGGCTCCCGGACAGCGCTGCTGCGCGCAGCGCTTGGCGGCCGTGTCAATCTCCGACGATGCGCGCGTCGCGATGCGGCAGGGGGCACCTCGACAGAGCGACCATAGCCGCGCCAACTCCACGAAAGAAGTCAAACAGCGCGGCCGCCGGCAAGGAGACGCCCTCGCGCACCAGCGCGGGGGGGGGTCCGGGGCATTATGGCGCCACGCGGCGCAAAGGCCAGTCCGTCGTCATCAGCCGGCTGAGCAGCCACCTGCGCGCTGTGCTGTATGAGCCCCGAGGAGTAGCACAAGCCGCCGCCCTCCTTGCTCGCGTCGGTGGCCAGAACCACCGCGCTGAGCCTGGCCCGTGGGTCCGCGAAGGCTGTCGGCAGCAAGCAGACGGCTGAGAGCGGCTCAGCGCGGGCCCCGAGCGGCAACTTGAACGGCGCGAGGAGGGCC